TAGATAGTTACGAATCCTAATCCAACTATATCTCTCTCATCCTGAGTAAGTTGAATATGAATCCTAACTCAAATAAAAAAGATACAAGTAGAAATTAGTTTTTTTAAATTTTGGTCTTTCTATTTAAACATTGATTATTATTTTTTGCCGTGAGGCCCTTACGTAACGAACTAGAGGACTTCAGGAATGGAGAAAGTCGAGTCCTCTCGTCGTCCAGAAAATTTTTCGATTTCTTTTCGTGTTTGTATGTCATTTTCCAATTTCTTTTATTCGAGTTCCAGTTTTATTCAGTTACGTCTGATTTCTTTCTTTTTTTCTCTAGTCCCAGTTAGGTTCACTTACGTTTTCTTTATTTTTTTCACGTTCAACTAAATGTGTTTCCATTCCGTTATTTTCACGTTCAATGAATGTGAAAACGGGCGATTTGTAAAAATGGGACTCGAAACATCGGTCTTTTACAAATTTGACATTGGACTCACATTCATAGACACAGATGGACCCACTTGTCATCCACCCGAGTGTCATCATAATCAAGAGTCAATCTTTCGAGTGCCATTTTTACAATTTTTTCAAAAACGGAAATAGGTAGATGAATAATAACAATAAAAATAAAAGAATAAAAACAACACAATATATATAACGGCTTCCCCGCGGCCAACGCACTCGCCCCCGAGGCCGACATCCCCGACTCCCTATAGTCGACGGCGCCCCAACGCTGGCACGCTCACGGCTCGCAAGCTGCGAGCGTGAGCTGCAGGCGGGGCTAGCGGGCTAGCACAGCTGGGGAGGAGGGAGGAGTCAGCGGAGCTTAGCCAGCCATCGGTGGAGGAAGTCGTGCGGGCTGCGGAAAGGAGACGAAAACTATTGTGCTCATGCGGTGAAGGGGATAAGAAGGAGATGCGTACAGAGATAAGGAAGAGAGAGAAAAGGGAAACCATAAAATAATTAAGGAAAAAATACAAGAAAAAGGCAAATAAAAAATAAGGATATTATAGTTATTTTATCGTGTCCGTCCATTGCAACGGAAAGAAATAAATAAATCCTTGTACATCGGATTGCAATAAGAAAAACTCACTTATTTGTGTAAATATTATTGTGTGTTCTATTTACTGAATTTATGACTTCCATCTCACTCCAATTATTTCGCAATCAATTCATTTATCAACATCATGTACTCTGGTGTTTGCCCATGGGATTTTTCTGATAGCGTTGCGGCACAATCTGCCTTGCCACGTGTTTAATCAACTAAATTTAATCTATTATATTTCTAATTTGGAAAATATCATGTATGCTAAATCATCCTTTTGCTCGAGAAGAGCCTTCATTAGGAGCTTAGGCTCTGCTATCTGTTATTCCTAAACTAATCAAATCTACTTTAGATATACATATCATTCTTTTAATCTTGAGCATGTTAGAACATCTAAGTTTTTATAAAATTTACTCTCTAAATTATCATTTGGAGGGTCATTTGAGTCAAAATTGTTTTTTCTATATATTTATTCTCTCCAACAATTATTTTATATCTTATTCGCATTATAGAGAGCCATCATCGCTCTCCATCTTTGGCCGCTAGCGAAAAAACTAATATACTAGATGATGTCTATATTTTAGAAAGTATATAAAGAGTCTCTTGAATTTTCTGTTTAGAAGATCAAACCGAGGTTGAGAACCCGAGCTTTGCAATAATGGCTGTAAAAATACAATGACACGTCAACATATATAACATCCACAGTAAATCAAACCGTAACAGCAACCGCATGATGAATTCGATTAATGGATCCTAAAATAGATTCATGTTTACTTTCTCATACTCTTTTATCTTCTTCGTTCCTACACACTTTTGTTTTGGTTATTAATTTTTATATGTGGCTTTATAATGTTGACCGACCGTGTCCACGTCAGAAAAGTATCAATCCAATAGTTCAACCCCGGAATCAGATAAACGAACAAGTAGGAGCACAGCAATCACGATCAAGAACAAGGAAGCATAGTTTGGCCGTGTGCTCTTCCCTTCCCTAGGTCAATCATTTTTCTCGAATACGCAAAAAAATGCGTATTATTGTATTAAGTAGAAGAGCTTGAACACATACAACACGCTTCTATCGAGCGTCGAAGGAGGTCGACCTAACACAGCCGTAGCTGGACTATCCTAGCAAAATACTTTTTGTTTCGATATTACATAAAAGAAAACAATCAAAACTGACACAGCGGTGCGACCTAGGAGGTGACCTTACGTCTTCGCAGCTGCCTGGACTGGCCCTTTCCAACTACCGGGAAGAGCGCGTCCATCGCCTTGGCCTCCGACGCGGTCAGGTTGCCGTCGAAGAGCTTGTCAAAGGCCTCCACCTCCGACGCTGATGGCGCTGATGGACCCTTGATGTAGCTCATACGCTGCATGATCAGTACCTCACCTCGCTTGGAAACAGGTACTCGGGACAGGCTCTGAGCTGCCAACCACCTGCTCCACTACGACAGCACCGCCTTAGCAGGCGGCTGCTTGGGAGGCTCACGAATCAGCGGAGAGCCTCTCTTACACACCACTGCCTTGGTGAAGTTGTCAAAGCGGCGCTTGAAGGAGCCATCGTCGTCAACTGTCTGGTGGGTGTCCCCCGGCGGCGTACTTGGGTCCGTCTGCACCGGACCAGAGCCTGGTGGGTAGGCCACTTCGCCCACCGTGGGCGCATCAACGCCCCAGGGGTCGTCGAACACCAACCGCTTTGGTGTGACCTGTGACTACCCCTGCTGAGGCGACACCGAGGGCGAGGTGGGGCGCAAGGGTGGTATCCGCCACGTCGAGTTGACATGCTGGGACGGCGTCAGCGTGCAAACATAGGTGACCACTGCCGGGGCCTCGTCCTCCAGCTGGGTGACCGGTGGAGGCCACGTGATGACCCTACTGCTAGCGAGCGAAGCCACGAGCTCCACTAGCATTGGGTCCTCCGTGACATCACAATCAACTGTGGCGTCCATGCGCGGCGTTAGCGTCAGCGGGTCGAGCTTGACGAGGCCTGTCGCGCCGGTCAGCTCACCATGTCCAGCCTGGGCATCAGCAGGGACAAATGTACATCATCCGGCGCTGCTGGAGCGGCCCTGGCCGAACGACCGTGGCTCCTCCGTCGCCGCCGTCGGCGACGACGTTGGTGTCGCCGTCCTTTGCCGCAACGCCCATCTGTGCCCAGCACGTCTTCGCCCGAGCCCGGCGTATGTGGCTGGTCGTGGCAACACTAGGAAGGACGTCGACGGTGTGCGCCTAAGTCACCAGGTATGCCGTTCCTTGCCAAACTCAACCTCTGCGGCCACTTGCAATCACGCGCGTGGTGGCGGAAGCCCCTGCAACGCAGGCAGCGCTGAGGCAGCTTGCAGGTCGCCACCTTGTGCGAGGTGGAGAGGCAATTGAGGCATTTCCCTTATAGCTCTGCTGAAAAACAGAGCACTAGACACGTCGATCGTGGTGGTGGAGCCTCATCACAACCTCCAGACAGCCCTCGTGAAAGGACCTTGTGCCAACCATCGGCGTCAGGAGCGGAGAAGCGTTGCTGTCCGTCGGAAGCAGGCTGAGGTCCTAGCCTCTGATGAACCGGCCGACACTGCGCATGACCGGTCCCACTGTTGTTGTCCCGGCCTTGGACAGGAAGCCCAGGGACAAGTTGTGGGCGTGGTTGCCGATGGTTGGGGCGATTTACCTGTCTCCCGGCACGTGATCTGACGGCGGCCCAACGCGCGTGCCCCTAGCAACGGCAAGCGTGTCGGGGCACGCAACGACAATGGCAACGACCGTAGCTATGTCTCCTGTCGAACGGCATTGAGGTCCGGCAGCCCCTCGACGATACAAGTGTGCGGCTGGGAACTGGTCCCTGCCTCTAGGCCTGCCTGTACCGGAGAGCCCCAACATACGGCGTCGAGGTAGGACCCCCCGAGATGGCGGCGCGGACTTGGTGTCGGCGTCGGCATCGTTGTCATAGTCGTAGTCGTAGAGGTCGGACTCCTCGGACCATCTCATGGCCTTGGAGCACCCTGGGGTCCCGGTTGGGAAGAAAGGGGTGGCATTGGGGGAGAGGGTGGCTGGCCTCATACCTGTGGAGGAGGTCGAGGGCGTATGGGTGGCCACCGGTGCTGGGGCAACGGCTGGCGGGCTGGGGGAGGTGGGTGGTGGGGAGGGCTGGGGTAGCGGAGCGCCTCCACCCCTAGGAAAGGTGCCAGATCCCACGGGGTCTGTGTCAGCAGGCAGGGGAGGGGAAGGGGAGGGGGAGGGAGAGGTAGGGGCGGAGGAGGGGGTGGGGGCAGGTGGCGCCTGGGTGACGGCCGACGGCGACGGCGGGATGCCCTCCTCGGAACCGGCGCCAGATCTGGATCCGGAACCGGAACCCCCGGTGCCTTTGTCGGTTGGCAGGGGAGGGGAAGGAGAGGTGTAGGTGGAGGTGGGGGCGGAGGAGGTGGGTGCTGTCGACGCTTGGGTGGCGGCCGGTGGCGGCTGCAGCGGGGAGGCCGTTAGGGCGCTACCCTAGCCCGCGGCACGATAGGAGTTCGACAAGCCTCTGATTGTGATCAAAGGGGGAGGTGGAGGTGTGGGCGGAGGAGGAGGTGGGTGCCGCCGGCACCTAGGTGGTGGCCGGCGGCGGGGAGGCCGTCAGGGCGCTACCCTAGCCCACGGCACGATAGGAGTTCGACAAGCCTCTGATTGTGATCATAAAGCCCAAGATCCCCTAGGTTAATCATGCATGGTTTCTTTCCCCGAACAATAAAAAAATGGGAAAAAGAAAACGCGAGCAATCTCATCTGATAATAAAACTGGTCGTCGCTATTGTAACAATCTGCAGTCGATCGATTAATCAATCGCTTTTTCCTATGGGGATTATATTGGTTGGTTGGGCTGGTGATGCCATTGCCATGCGACGACGGATCGGGATCGCGCGAGTCCAAGAAACCGGCCGAGAAAGAGATGGCGGCGGCGGTCACGGCGGTCACGAGCACCGCCTCTCCTCACGCTGCGACGGGCTCCGCTAGAAGCCGACGCCCGAGAAGCTGGCCCAGACCGCCGCCTCTGCCTCGGCGAGCTCGTCGCGCCTGGCCGCCGCCGTGCCCGTGGGCCAGTAGCAGAAGTTGAGCGCGTCCCCGTTCCTGTCCATGGCCGCTGCCGCGGTCGGGGAGGACGACGCGGCGGCGTCCGACGCGAGGAGCCCCGCCATCTCCTTCTTCTTGGCCGCGGCGGCGCGGGGGGCGCGCCTGCGCCTCGCCCGAGCGCGGAGCGCGCGGCGGCACAGCGCGGCGGGCACGCGCACGGCCACGAGCACGACGAACTCCACCACCGCGCAGGGGAAGCAGCCGCACACCGCGGCGCACTCCGCCGCTGTCCCGCCCGCCACCTCCCCGCACCGCGGCTGCTCCCGCGCCCGCCGCCGCTCCCGCTCCCGCCGTGCCTCCACAGGCGGGGACCGACGCAGCCGCCGCTTCTCCTCCATTGCCGCAGCCGCCGCCGCCGCCGCCCCGTGGACGTGGACGTGGACGCGGACGCGGACGCCGACCGCCGGTGGCTGCGCCGCTGCTTCTGCTGGTGGCGCTCTTCGTGCTGGCCGTCGCGCGCGTGCTCCCCGCAGGCCTCGGCCATCGTCGTCCCCGATCGCGCGCTGCTCGTCGTCGCCGCAGTCAGAGACCACGGCGCGCCGCCATCACCTGGAGATTCGTGCGGGGGAGAGCGAACGGGCGGCCGGCCGGGGCAGGAGACGCATTCGCACGGGGGAGGGAGATGAGAGGCGAGGCGGTTGCGGCATGCGCGGGGCGCCGCCGTATATATTAGCGGGCTCTTGTCCGGCTGACGAGTGGGACCCTCTCACATCATATAACACGAGGGCAGGGCGTGCGCGTCCGGGGAACCCGTTTCTGGTGGTGGCGAGGCTGACACGTGGGTCCACCTATATCTATTCTTCTATCCCACCCTCCCCTCTTTTTAGTTCCTCCTTGGCAACACTATGCACCTGATGTTAAAAATAGCACCTGATGATGAAATTACATGGAAAAAGCTTTTGCATGAGTTCGACCGATCCCCATTAGTTTTGAAGCTACATAGGTCAGTTTCAATCGATCGGCGTCGTCTTCTCGTTCATCGGGTAGGTATGTGTGTAGTGTTCTTGTAGTGCCTTTGGTTTTCTTGTTTAGTTTATATGAATATGAATATGGTTATTGTCTCCTTCCATGAAATCGTCACTATCACGTTCAAATGATTACCTGGTCTTGTTTTTTTTAATAAAATTGATCATATTTTATCAAATTGTTTGAAGCATGTAAGTACGATGCTGGCGTGCCAGGAATTTGTTGACCTGCGCGCACATTGCGATTGCGATCATGGCGGTAAATAATTGAGGGATGCGGCGGCCACGTACGTGCTTTGATACGATGCTATAAGATGTCTGATCCGATCCGCAGAAGGACGGCGGTGGCGGCGGCGCGCGCGGGCGGCCGGCAGCGATGGTGGACGGCGGCGGGAGGGAGATGGACTCGCCGCGGTTCCGCGCGATCCTGCGTGCCACAAGCGGGCGCCGGAAGCGGGCGCCCGAGGTGAAGAGCTTCTCGCACGAGCTGAGCTCGCGGGGCGGCGGCTGCGGCGTGCCGACGATGCGCAAGATGGTGCGCGGCGGCGGGCACGGCAGCACCACCCCGGAGGAGTTCATCGGCGCCATCCGGACCAAGTTCATCCGCCTCAAGGAGGAGGTGGACAGCGAGCTGGGCGTCTTCGCTGGGGACCTCGTCGACGTGCTGGCGCGGGCGGGCGACGGCGACGGCGAGGACCACCACCCGGACGACTGGCGCGTCGCGCTGGAGGACCTGCTGGTGGTGGCGCAGCGGTGTGCGGAGATGAGCCCCGAGGAGCTGTGGACCCGCTGCGAGGGCGTCGTGCAGGGCCTGGACGACCGCCGGCAGGAGCTCCCCGCGGGGCTCCCCAAGCAGGCTCACACGCGGATCCTCTTCATCCTCACGCGCTGCACCCGCCTGCTGCAGTTCCGCAAGGGCGCCGCCGTGGGCGGGTGCCTCTACGCTGACGTCGACGACGACGACGTCAGGCGGAACGTGCTCAGCCTGCACCAGCTCAGCGACCTCGGGTTCTACCCGATCCACGTCGACGGCGGGGACCTCGGCCGCAAGAGCACCTCCAGCCTCACCGAGCTCAAGGAGCGGCTCATCAGGCGCCGGATGCTGGAGCACAAGCAGCTCACCGTCGACTTCTCCCCGGCGAGGATCTTCTCGCCGTCCTCCGGGGACGGATCGGCCGCGGCTGACGGTCACTCCCCCAGCGGCAAGATGGCGTCGTGGAAGAAGCTCCCTTCCCCCGCCGAGAAGAACAAGATCAGCAGCAAGACCGCCGCCGGAGCTGGTGACGCCTCCGGGGATGCTGCCACAGCCACCAATATTGCCGCCGCCGGCGCGGGCGACGACAGCCCCGCGAAGAAGAAGCCCATCACCCGGCACGGCAAGACGACGGTGGACGAGATCGTGGAGCGCGTGGACGCGGCCAGCATCCACATTCACCCGGACGGCCTGGCGTGCCTGGGCGGCGACGCGGCCGTGAACCTGGCAGAGATCCCTTCCCGGTACCCGGAGGCGCAGCAGATCATCGTGGATGGGAAGCCCCGGATGATCTGCCGCATCTGCGACTTCGAGATCCCCATGGCGTGCGCCGAGGGCCACTTCGTGGTGTGCACGCTCGCCGACCGCTGCGACGCCAAGGGCCACAGCGCGGACCAGCGCCTGCTGCGCGTCGCCGAGGTGCTCGACAGCGTGCTCGCATGCTTCGACACCCGCAGGACCCTCGGCAGCAGCGGCGGTGGCAGGGCGAGCACGTCGTCCGAGTCGGACTCCAACAACGCCGCCGACCACGACCCTCTGTCCCAGCTGCTGACCGTGCTGTCCACGGAGCTCTTCTCGGAGGGCGCGCTGACGCCGGCGTCGGGGAGCCTGCCGCAGTCGCCGCTGCTGACGCCGCGGACGAGCCACGCCGAGTCGCATCTGACCAAGCACAAGGCGTTCGCGGAGCTGGAGAACTTCCAGCAGATCGAGAGCCTGCTCGCCATCGCGCGCTGCGTCGAGGGCATCAAGAGCTCCGAGTACAACTCGCTGGAGGACCTCAGCTCGTACCTGGAGGACCTCAACGCCGTGATCGACACGCGCAAGGTGGACGCCCTCGTCGTCGAGACGTTCGGGCGCAGGATCGCCAAGCTCCTGCAGGAGAAGTTCATGCAGCTGTGCGGGCAGATCGACGACATGGGCGGCGCGGCGGCGGACCAGCAGCAGCTGCACCTGCACCCGATCGACGAGGAGGGCCCGATGATGGAGAGCGGCGGCGTGACGCTGACGACGAGCTCGCGGGCGACGACGCTGAACGGCGGCAACAACGCCAACCGGTTCAAGGACCGGACCTCCATCGAGGACTTCGAGATCATCAAGCCCATCAGCCGTGGCGCCTTCGGCCGCGTGTTCCTGGCCAAGAAGAGGGTCACCGGCGACCTCTTCGCCATCAAGGTGCTCCGGAAAGCGGACATGATCCGGAAGAACGCCGTGGAGAGCATCCTGGCGGAGCGCGACATCCTCATCTCCGCGCGCAACCCCTTCGTGGTCCGGTTCTTCTACTCCTTCACGTGCAGGGAGAACCTGTACCTGGTCATGGAGTACCTCAATGGCGGAGACCTCTACTCCCTGCTCACGAACCTCGGCTCCCTCGACGAGGACATGGCCAGGACATACATCGCTGAGCTCGTGAGTTGCCGCCATTGCCAATGCCATCTGTTTCGTCGTCCTGTACATCCTCTCATTTTGCTGCAACAACTGCAAGCAGGTTCTTGCGTTGGAGTACCTGCACTCCATGAACGTGATCCACCGTGACCTGAAGCCTGACAACCTGTTGATCTCTCGCGACGGCCACATCAAGGTAATGGTGGTAGGCGTTGCCTTAAGAGAGTCTCCTTTGCTCGCGTTGTCAGTCCAGTCGGTGAATGTATTCGTCAGGTGATCGTTGACCTGAATGAATGAGCTGCATGCAATGCAGCTGACCGATTTCGGGCTGTCCAGAGTGGGCCTCATCAACAGCACGGACGACCTGTCGGGCCCGGACGTGAGCAGCGTCCTCGTCGGCGACCACCAGCCGACGGACGCGGAGCAGCGGGAGCAGAAGCGGCAGCAGCGGCAGAAGCAGACGGCGGTGGGCACGCCGGACTACCTGGCACCGGAGATACTGCTCGGCATGACCCACGGTTCGTCTTGGATCGTCATTGCCTGCTGCATCTTCTGTCCTGCTTGTCCGTCAGCTTCAGTGGTGGCTCTTCAGAGATGTGAGACTTGTGATTCAGTGACATGGCCTGTTTGATTTCCGACAATGCGTGCATTGCAGGCCCGACTGCCGATTGGTGGTCGGTTGGCGTCATCCTGTTCGAGCTGCTCGTGGGGATTCCTCCCTTCAATGCTGAGCACCCGCAGGTACTTAGTATGCACATCGCCTGTCGGAAATTCCCTGTTTGTTAATTGTTATTATGTGCAATGTGGAATGAATTTGATTTTTGAAGTCTGTAACTCTCTATGCAATGCAAGTGGACTAATTTTCAGAAGTGAATGGACAAATCCTTTTCAGTTTCTTAATCCTAATTTGATTTGATGGTCAAACTTATTTGTAATACTATGGGTCTATTGCAGATAATATTCGACAACATAATGAACCGAGAAATACCTTGGCCACAAGTACCAGAGGAGCTGAGTTTTGAAGCGTATGATTTGATTGACAAGTAAGTAAGAAAACATACGAGGTTCTGAAAACTTCTACAAACATCACATGCGCCCACAAGGTCTTCATATGTGCTACCAACAAATTACCATTTTGACTCATTTTCGAATCGTATTAGGTTGCTGATGGAAAACCCGGTGCAAAGATTAGGCGCGACCGGTGCTGGAGAGGTACTCCTTTTTCTTGGTCTTTTCATTTCTCATTTTCATAAGAAATCCCTACTCTTGTGCACGCGACACTAACTGAAATGTGTTATTAGAGCAGGTAAAGGCTCATCCGTTCTTCAAAGACATCAACTGGGACATGCTTGCCAGACAAAAGGTTACTGCTAAACCATTTGACAGTTTTCAATTTTTCTATAGCTAAACAATGACAAAATTGAGAACAACAAAAAATCAGGCACCTGATATATATTCTTCAGAGACATCAACTGGGATATGTTCTTGTCTTGTAGGTTGCATTCATCCCTTCCACAGATGACGAGTACGACACGAGCTACTTCGCCTGCCGCCACTCCTGGGGCAGCGCTGACGAGCAAGTCAATGCGGCCGGCAACGATTATGACGACCGGACTGAGACCAGCAGCATGAGCTGCGGCAGCAGTCCACATAGCGATTATGAGGAAGATGTGAGTGTCCTGACCTGTATCATATATAAACTGATCCCTCCTTGTGATTGTGAGAGTTCAGACGTCCAAGCCATTTTTACAGGGCCTGATTCTCATCTTATCTCATGAGTTTGAATTTAATTGGTACCAGGGTGATGAGTGTGGCAGCATGGAAGAATTCGGCGCACCTTTGTCGGTGAAATATTCTTTCAGCAACTTCTCATTCAAGGTAACTATTATCTGAAAAATTCCTGTTCCATTGCATACGAGTTTTCTTTTCTGAATCTTGTCTTTGATGACTGAATTTACTTTTCCTTCTTTTTGTGTGATGTGCAGAACATCTCTCAGCTAGCATCCATGAACTACGACCTGATGACGAAGCATAACTTGGATCCTTTGCAGTCCTCGAAATCTTGAAAGCAGAGCAGCAAAGGTAGGCAACAATGTTTCAATTCTGAATGTCGTCAGCTATTGTACTGGACATTACTAGAACCTACCTACACAGTTCTTCAGTTTTTGTTAGTTAGGAACTGAACCTCACCAGTCACCACACCAGCAGGCTTTTGACCGAAGATGATTGTGTGTGGCAATGAACCTGCAGTTTCGTCTGGAACAAACATGTTGCCCAGTCAGTTTTTCTTTGTGCAATCAAAGTCAAACGCGCGCCGAATCCGAATCGCAGGTAGTGGTGAGATGAAGAGTTTATACTTTGTAGGGAAGCTTCTGCACATGAAGGATAGGCAAAGCAAATTTGCTAGTAATATGCAATTCATAGCTTGCACTGAGACCATGCGTTATCAGAAGATATATAGGATGGTATCCACCGTTGTAATCTCTGACAACTGGCTACAGATACATAGTGAATATAAACCTTGTTTGTAGAAAGATGGCGCAATAGATAGCACTGTAAATCTCTCTTTCTTTCTTTTTTTTGTAAAAGAATATTTCTAAAACCTGTAAGTGTGCTGAATTCGTTCGGTGCCTTTTACAGTGTTTGCATCAACAGAAACAACAGCAGTGCTCCTACCATGCAATGCAAAGCCCTGTCATAAATTGTTCACGGCTAATGAAAACTGTTCACAAATTATTCCTCTAATAATTTACATAAGCAAAGAAAATACAGAAAAAGTTTATCCCAGGAAGATTATCTTTATGAATGATGGATGGGTGACGGTTCATTCACCACGAGAAAACGAGGGGTTGTAGGAGGTTGCAGCACCAGGCGTGGTGTTGCAGAGGCCAGCCAGCACAGCTCTTATCGCAGGAATCCTTCTATCACAATTCACAAGAGGAGAGTCCCCAAGAATCCAGTCTCCCCTGCTTCTAGAACTTGTGCTCTATCATAATCTATCGTCCTCTGGGCTCTTGCAGCTCCCATACGTACGCGCCAAAAACGAAAATTGCGTATCAACTCTGAGCACCAGAGACACCGCAAATATTTGAGTATTTCACTACTCAAACCCTACTTTGAGCTGGTTAAACTATTTACAGTTTTTTTTTACTGTCATCGGGGAGGGGGGAGAATCCCCACCTGATAAAACCAATACAGTAGCCCCAGTTTAAGGGTTAGATTGTGGCATATCCACTAGTAAGCAAGAATAAACATGCATCGGCACAAGGTTGAAAGGTGGCAGAACCACAAATACACCAAAAGAGAGAAAGAGCTAAAACACCAAGGCATATGAACTCTTCGATGATGCCTCCAGGGAGGTGAATGATGCTGCAACGTAATCATCGTCAGCTAAGCAGGAGCTTGGCAAGGCTTTTGCCCAAGCCTTTGCCGAGGATCAGACCGATCCAGGAGAAGCCGCAGCAAGAGATTCTCAACTATCAAAATCATCATATTCGCCTCCAAAAGTTTCTTCGAAGAAAAGTTCAAACCCTACGTTGAGTTGTTTTTTAAGAGAAGCTGTTTTGGTTAAACTATGTATAGTGTTTCAATCACCGATTAGTGGAATCGGCATATTCGCCTTCAAATTATGAGTTGTTTGGGTTTATCTTTCTCGAAGAATGTGAGGGTTGCTATACTTTAGGTGCTTGAATTTTAAGAAATTTTTAGGTAACAATCCTACGTAATCAACTAATACAATTAAACGGACAACTTACAAGTAACAATTCACAATTTTTTTCTAATCAAACAATAACAAAATTGTACGTTTGCATGAACAACAAAAAAAAAATCAGTTACATGCGGTTCGATGGAGCCCCTTGAAACAGGAAGAATCACTCCTTAGCCAAACAACTAAAATGCACATCGATTTTCATGGGGAGCAGACAAGAAACAATTATTCATTTACACTTGAGCTAAAATCCATGCTCCTCGCTACTCCCTATTTAATCCACACACTAAAATCACTCTAAATCAATTCTTACCTGCCCCTATAGATGGCAACAAGTATATACCCATTAGATAGTGCGATCCCCATACTCGGAGCCGCTAGACAAAATTTTACGCGCTAAGATGGGTATAGAATACAGCGGGTACTCGGATGGGTAGTATGTTCCCGTACGGCCATACCCGTATCCATATACCCGATGGATAGCATACCCATGGGTGAAAAAAATCTTCTCATACCATCTCTTTATCGCATAAAATCCGTCGGATAGTCAGGTTTCACATACCCATTGCCATCCACTCTTCACCCTATTTCTCTATCAAAAATAGAATCTAGAAGTTGAGCTTAGCCAATCAAGCCCGCATCCAGTATAAACCACCAATCGCAAATCAACATGATCCCCACAAAACCACCACTTCGTCCTTGTAAAAGACGACAGCTCGGTGATGAGTTTATTACAGCCCACAGCAACAGCAACAGAGCAACCGCAAGGCTCACGTACGGCAGCTCAAAACCTGAGCGTGCATGCTACGACGCCACGTCACGTGCCGCGACACGCAAGCTACAGCTACCACAAGCCTGGAGGCGCGACGGGCGACGGCTCACGCGCGCTGGCCGCTGGAGATGCCGCGCGCTCTGCGTGATCGGCAGGCGCCGGCGGACTGACGAGGCCCCTATGCTAATCTTGCGCTGGTGGCCGTCGACGACGACCGCGCCCGCCGCCGGTACTCCTCGCTGTTGGACGACGGCTCCGCCACGTCGTCCGCGAAGCGCACCTTCTTCTTCTTCTTCGTGCCCCGCGGGCGGCGCCGGCGCCGGTCCTGGTCCGCCGCTCCATCGTCACAGCCGAGGGCGATCCTCACCCTGAGGTCGGCCTCCAGCCGGCGGTGGAGGTGGTAGGAGATGAGGATGACGCTCGTCGACACCACGGCGACCGCGACCATCCCCATGCAGCTCCCGGCGCCGCCGCTGCTCCGCCGCTCCATCGCGGGCGATCGATCAGCAAGCCGCTGCCCTTCGACGACGATGTGGTGGTCTGCCGCCGGTGAAGGTAGGCTCGAGGACTAGCTAGATTGTCGATGAGTCGATCCTGTGCGTTGTTGGATTTATATATAGAGAGAAAGCAAAGCCAAGAGGGAGATGGGTGAGATCGACAAAACGAGCGAAAAGGCGTGGTGACTCCGAGTCGTGATGAGGGAGGGAACTAATAAAACCGTTTTTGGAAGGAAAGAAAATAAAACACGCTTGAATTCGATCTACGCGCGCGCACCTGGTTTATATTAGGAGCCAGAGTAGAAAGATACATGTGGAGCATGTGTCTCTTCAACAGTGAGGCGCCTTGGCCATGTAGATTACACGCATACCCATCCGTTTTGGCACTACTACGCAGGATAAATAGAAAGTTAGGTCATGTTTGATACAGACGAAGTCAACTTTTTAGCTTTTAATTTCAAGAGCAACTCTACTTGCTCAATCTATTTTGCTAGAACAACTCATCGTCTTTTTTTCTCGTCTCCTATTTCTCTCACTTCCTTCTCATGCCAGGCTCCCCGCGCATGACCTGGCAGCCCTCCCATGCCTTATGGGCAAAACTAACCTCCTCGCATGGTGGGGCTCACTATTGCGGTGGGAGCCAAGAAGAGCTATGTTATCCTAGATGGTAACCAATCGCTAATTTGCCGTTTGGCCGTTATTCAAATTAAACGGTCACTTAAACATTTATTTGAATTGGATAAATGGAATAATATGTAGTGCTTAACATTGTGTATACGGGCTAAACGACCGTTTAAACGAACAGTGGCTAGGAGAAGCTACTATTTGCATCTCCATTCAACACCCACCTCACGTGGGAGTATATTTTGAGGGACTGCACTTGCGGAGTTGTTTAAAAACACCCGTTTGGCACTAAACAACTCCTGAAGCAGCTGCAGGAGAAGTTGTGCAAACGGGACCTTAATTGAGTCTGAAAAGAGGGACGATGTGTTGATGAATATTACTCGCTTCTTTTGTTAGGCGTGCGGTGGTTTAACCCACATACCAGGACTTTTGAGATAGATTAGTTGTCCACCGGATATCATGCCCAGTTGGCCATTGCATGCACTTGATGGGCGGTGGTGACCTAGGCTCACCACCCAAAGAGCCATGCATGCACATGCTTGATTTGCTGAGGCCTAAACTCTATACGTACTATAAATTTTTGGAGGCATATAAAGCTCTATGTACCACGGTTAGAGCATCTACAGGAGCAGGAGAAAACTCCAACCCAAAAACTAGTTATTGGAGGAGATACAAAACGTGTTTTGGGGTTTGGAAGGTTTTTTCTCTAACAGAACGAGAAAATCCAATCCCTAATGAGAAAATAGTGGATTTTGGGAGGAGAGGTCTCCCCTTTATTTAAGAGGTGGTAGTCTATGATTTGTGGGACTCACAAAAAAAAATTCTCATTGGGTTTGGGTTTGGGGAACTGCTGGAGCTACAAAATTTCCAAAATAACAGTTTTTTTCTCATTGGTGGTTATGAAAGGAGGACTGCTGGAGATGCTCTTGTACACTTTTCTAAACACATATACATGTTCTCTAAATGTTTTAAATTGTATTCTATACATACTCGAAAATTATTAGAGGCACATAAAGCCCTGTGTACCACAACTACACACTTTTCCAAACACGTATTCATGCATGTTCTCTACTCGTTTCAAATTGTAAATTGTTTCGGTTCTACTATAAAATTATTGGCTAACGTACAAGTAAAATGGTGCCGCACATCGACAAGAAATGGCAACATATCCAATTAAGTTTTAAAGACCACTGATTACCGCAAAGGAGAGTTAAGGTTGTGATGGTGTCCCCTTCCTCTACGGTCGAGGTGCTCTGCTTTTGGAGTTAGAGGCTTTCCCTTGGGTTGTTTTGGTGTCGGTTGTGGCTTTGTCTCTTGCTGTTGCTTTGGTGCCGACGGGGCTCCTTTGATCAAGCAACACCAGTAGGTATTGCACAATGCTCCTAGACGAGTTTTAGTGTGAGAAAATATGATATCTTAATGATACCGTTATCCATACTCAACGCGTATTAGACAAATACTCCCCAAGCACACCACACACACGTACATGTGTATTCTACATAAAAATTATAGGAGACACAAAAAGCCCTTTGTACCAGAGCTACAATTTGTTTTCCTACTAAACACTACATGCATTTATGTTGTTTCAAAAGCCTCTCATCATTCCTAGACCATCTAGATTGCAGGGTTGTTCCTTGGTCAACCTTTCTAATCCAAGCCACCTTTGTAATGGAGTTGCAAATGGCTAGGCCAAAAACACACGTTGGAGCTACAATAGAAAAATAATCATTCGGCAATATCCGATGTCTAAGGAACTTCTCCATCAATAGAATTGCTTTTATCCTTGTGAAACAAGTACAAACGGTCAATGTAAGCAAATTCATTTGAGTTAACCACGTTACCAGTATCAATCGCACAAACTATACCTCAGAAAGTACTTTCGGTGGTATGCTATATTGCTATGGGACAATGCCTGCATTGTGCCAAGTACATTTTCTCTTCCTTTTTTGATTCTCTTTTTATGTTCCTAACATTATTTGTTCCATTCCTTGTTACTTTTCCTCCCTTAATTCTTGCATGACCAATATTCATGCAATGGGCATTCGAAGTCCCGAAGATTTTTGTGATCATTGTCATAAAGGCAATTCGAAGTCCCATTTATGCACATATTTTGTTGAAGTTTGTTTGGGTGAACGTATAACTTCTATTGTACCACACCCACAAAAATTACATGTGTAATTCTGCACATACTAAAAATATATTGTAGGCACATAAAGCCCTATGTACCACAAGTACACACCTTTTATAAACACATATGCATGTTCTCCATCCATTTGAAATTGTAAATTATTTGTTTTAATAGAAAGTTATTGGCTGGCAGAAGTGTGAAAGGATGGGGCCCAAGAAGAAAAAGTACCAATGGATCTGGCAAAAGTTATATTAATTTACAGACCACCGATTACTACAATAGAGAGTTATTGTTGTGATGGTGGCATTGTCCTTTGCGATCGTGGTGCTATGGTTTTTGAGTTAGCGACTTTGCCTAAGGCTGGTTCGGTGGCTGTTGTGGTTTTGTCTTTGGCTACTTCAATGCCGACGAGCAGCCTCCTTTGATCAAGCAACTTCAGGAGGTATTGCACACAATGCTCCTAGTTGAAACTTTGTGCGAGAACATATGATATCTTGACGATTCAATTGGTAGCTTTGCAGGTTATTCTCATATGCTTAGAGGTACTATGTTAAAGCCATTATTTAATTTCAAGAGCATGTTGAAGACCACACTCAATGTGTATTACACATATACCATCCCACACACACACACACACACTCTTGTACATGTGTATTGCACATACTTGTCTGGACTATGGGGTTGCAAGCCACCTTTCTAATCCATTGTACCAAGTACAATTTCTCTTTCTTTTTGTTTTTTTTTTGTTATATAATCCTAGCATTTACAATTTGTTTCTTTGTTATTTTTTGCTCTTAATCTTGCATGAACAACATTCATGCAAAGGATATTCAAAGTCCGAACATATGTTTTACTAGGATCATAGTGAGAAAGGAAAATCTAAGTTCCATTTATACAGATATTTGATTAAAGTTTTTTATGTGTGCATCAGACTTATACTGTCTAATCCCACACCCACAAAAAATGTATATGTGTGTTGTACACAAACTATAAAATTATTGAAGGCACATAAATCCCTTGTACCATAGCTACACACTTTTCTAAACACATATTCTTGTTATGCATCCGTTCAAACTGTAATTGTTTTAGTTTTACTAGGAAATTATTGCCTGGTAGAGGAGCGAAATGGTTGGGCACAACAAGAAGAAGTAGCAATGGATTCTATGAAGTCATGTCAATTTACAGACCACTAGTTACTACAAGAGAGTTAAGCTTTGTGATGGTGGTGGCCTCCTCTGTGGTTTGATTGCTCCGGTTTCGGAGTTAACCTCTTTGCCTCAGGATGATTCGGTGTCGGATGCGACTTTGTCTCTGTGCTTCGATGATGATGGGCCTCCTTTGCTCTACCAACTTCAGGAAATATTGCACAATTCTCCTATTTGAGATTTAGTGTGGAGACATATGATGTCTTAATGATTCAATAGGGTCTTTGAAAGTTATTCTCATTTTCTTAGAGGTACTTGGTTAATTAATGTCGTTATTTAATTTTAAGAGCATGTTGAAGACCCACACTCAATGTGTATCATACATACACAATCCCCCCCCCCTACATGTACATGTATATTCTACACAAAAAATATTAGAGCCACATAGCCCTATATACCAACAATACAAATTTGTTTACTAAACATACATGATGTATGTTCTTTCAAAAAGCCTCGTCATTCCTAGATCATCTTGTGCCCAAATAACCTTCCTAATCCATGCCACCTATGCAATGTCATTGCAAATGGCAAGGTCCAAAATCACTAGTTTTAAAACACACATTGGAGATGGGGAACATATCCAAAAATTTCATATAAGGATAGAGGGGCAAAACTTCGCTGCAATAGAAAAATAATTGTGATGCAATCTCCCATGTATGTTACTGCCATGTGGTATGCTATGGGCTGCATTGTACCGAGTACATGTTTTCTTCTCCATTGCTTCTCTTGTTATATTCCATGCCTTCACTATCCATTTCCTTGTTATTTTTCCACGAACAACCCTCATGTAAAGGGCATTTGAAGTGTTGACGAGTTTTACTAGGATCATATTTAGAAAGGCAATTCAAAGTTCCAGTTATACACGTGTTTGGTTAAAGTTTTTGTAGGTGTGCATCACACTAATAATATCCCATGCCCACAAAAATGTAAATGTGTATTCTACACATACTAGAAAATTATTGGAGGCATGAAATGCCCGATTTACCACATCTACACAATAATAAAATGTAAAATATTAGTGATATCGAATGCAAAA